GAGAGAGAGAGAGAGAGAGAGAGAGAGAGAGAGAGAGAGAGAGAGAGAGAGAGAGAGAGAGAAATTAAGGCCCTTTGACCTTTGCAAGAAGCCAACTGTGTTAGATCCCCAGCAACCCAAATGGTCCCCCAAGCTCTGCTATTAGTGATCCCTGAGCACAGGGGTAGGCCCTGAGCACTTCCAAGTGTGACCCCAAAACAAAAATTTTAAAAATAATAAAAACAAATGTTGGGGTCAAAGAGATAGTACAGAACTTAAGGTCCTTGTGTTGCATGAGGCTGGCTCTGTTTCAGTCTCCAACAGTACATATAACACCCTGAGCCCTGCCAAGGCAGCCAGGAGTAAGCCCTGATGAGCAGAGCTGGATATGGTCCCAAATCCAACAACCAACTAAACAAACAAATATTAGGCTTTGTAAATGTTTAATAAACTCATTATTAAAAAGTCACTGAGGACCTGGGGAACTGGCTCAGTAGTAGAGGTCCAGCTTTGCAAGCATGAGCTTGAGAGGCTGATTTGACAGGCATGGCTATGTGTGATAGCCCAGTCATTGAGATTCCCAGCATGCACAGCACCAGGTGTGTCAGCATGCAACCAAAGTACATGATCTCTGGACATCATGACAACAAAGGGCGAGAAAGTCACCTACTGGTTGAAGGAAAGAACTTTGAAATTAGAAAGGTTCAAAGTTAAACAATGACTACTGACTACTAATATAACCTGGGAGCTTCAGAACCCATTGCATTATTGTGATTATGAAATTAGATAATATATTGCATTATTGTGGAAAATTAATGAAATAATATATTAATATTATAATATATAAAGCATCTGGCAATAAATGATATTGATGTCTTTATCTTCATAATTGCTAAATGTATGGAAAACTTGTAAAGAAGGAAGATTTTCCTTGGAGGTAGGTAGGGGATTGTCCTGGGGATGGAACCCAGAGCTACATGCTTTACCACTGAGCTACATGTATATGAAGACTCCGGGGAATTTTTTCACATGATGTCCTGGAGACCTGATCCCTGAATTCTTTTCTATTCTTAACTCTTACCCTTCCATGGCTCACATTTAATTCTCCAGTAACACTTACCTGCTTTGTGAGGCACATCCAGCACAAACACTTCTCTCCTCAGACCTGTGGTTCTTAGTCTTTCCACTCAGATGGGCCTTCCTCTTTCCGGAAATAACCCATGGTCCGCATTCCCACAAGAGGGCTCCCATGCATACTAAAACCCCATTATCACTTCCTAGCTGAACGGTTTTAATACTGTTTTTTATGTTTTTCTTCTTTCTGCTCATGGTTTACTCCTAGCTCTGTGCTCAGGGATCATTCTTTGTGGGACTTGGGGAATGATAGGTGGTACTTGAGATCAAACACGTGTTGGCTACATGCAAGTCAACTGTACTATCTGCTGTACTATCACTCCAACCCTATTGTTTTTTTTTTTAGTTTTGGAGCCACACCCGCCAATGTTCAGGGGACCATACAGTGCCAGGAATCAAACCCAAATGTCTTACATGTAAATTATAGACACCAGCTCTTCGAGTTACCTCCCTGGTCAGCATTCTGGACTTTTTGGTTGTCTTTTAAGTTGTCATTATGTATTTGTTCTGCCAGCTAGACCTTAGGTTTTTTGATGGCAATGGTGGCCCTGGTTCTGCCTTGTCTCTTAATCACCACTAGCACTTTACCTCACATAGGACAACTGCAGAATAAGTGATTACTGCATCTGCCAAAGGCCACCCCTTATATTCTCTTTCTGTGGCTTTCCTGCAGAAAGCTACCAACTCTATGTGGAAGTGGGGGCCCCTCTACTCTATTTCATGCAGGAACGCTTGCTACTGGAGTCTCTCCATATAAAGCAAAGCAGGGCAAATCTAAAGCAAAGCACAGCTTCCCAGAGCCAAGGAGGCTCTTCCAGTCAGCCTTCCGTGGGAAGTGTGCTCCATGTCAAAGAAAATTGGACTTGCATGCAAACACATGACAGCTTTCTGAACTCTATCTCAGAACTATTTCGATTTTTCTATATCTAAGTTATATTTGCTCTTGACCAGCCTGAATCAAGTATGCAAAGTTGTACTGAATTATTAACAAGACTGCTCGAGAGCAACGACTACAACAAGGGAAATATCAAGGGGACAAAATCTTGAGCTTAATGGTGCCAACTACCAAGAAGGAAGTACTTCCACCAGGGCCTTGGCCCAAGGTTATGCGCAAAGATAAGAAGTCTCGAGCAAGAATGAAAGCAAAAGGCCCCAGCAGTTCTCAAAACACAACTTAAATAAACATTTATGAAGCTAATATATATTGTCAGAATGTTTAACATAAAATAATTATAAATAAGAATGAAAATCATAAGCACTGTAATTAAAAAACAATTCAGTAAGCTATAAGTCTAGACAATGCACAAGAAATCTCATATTCTATTACCTCCTCTGGCTTTTACCCAAGAACATAAAAAAGATAACAGAAGAAGTAGAAAAGGAAAAATTAACTCATCTAAAGATTAGCTATAAAGAACAAACAGAATCCTCAGCAGTCTGGGAGAACAATAGGTACCATATTCTCAGCTTTGAAGGTAGTTTGTGACCTCTATATGTCTTTCACCTTTGATATTAGGACCTTGTCAGGAGCAAGGGATGGTTGATTCTGGTTGTCTGCCCCTGCCACAGAAAGTACTGCTCTCAGGGCTGGAGCAACAGCACAGCAGGTAGGGTGTTTGTCTTGCACCCTGCTACCAGGGTTTGATTCCCAGCATCCCATATGGTCCCCTGAGCACCGCCAGGGGTAATTCCTGAGTGCAGAGCCAGGATTAACCCCTGAGCATCTCCAGGTGTGACCCAAAAAGCAAAAAAAAATACTGTTCTCCTTCCATTTCCATAAATTGCAAAGCCTTATCTCACACCACTCCAATCCGCCTCACACCTGGGTCTTGAAAACAGGAATTGATTTATTGCCCTTTGCATGTGCAACATATTTCAGATCTATGGAGATCCAGCATATAGGAAACTCAGCAAGTGAAGCTCCCTGAGAAAGAGGGTGGCTTTGTCCCAGACTGTTGTCCAGGCAACAGCATGGCTTTGCGGTTCCCCTTCTTGGAAAGGCTCTGCTCTGCCTTTTTAAAAATATTTTTATTTATTTTTTTAATTGAATCACAGTGAGATACGGATTTACAAAGCTGTTCATGATTGGGTTTCAGTCATATAATGTTCCAACACCCGTCCCTATATCAGTGTACATTCCCACCTCCAGTGTCCCCAGTTTCCCTCCCGCCAAGCCCATGGTAGTTTGTGTCTCTGTGTCTCTGTGTCTGTCTGTCTCTGTCTCTCTCTCTCTCTCTCTCTCTCTCTCTCTCTCTCTCTCTCTCTCTCACCCTCTTCTCATCATCAAGGCAGTGTGAGGTTCCTGAAGCCATCAAGAAAAGTATGAGGATTGAGACACAAGATGGCAGTATATACCGCGCGTTTGGGAGGGCAATGGGACTTAGTGAAGCGAGCTGAGTTGGGGGGGGGGGGGTGCGCTGATTGAAACTGAAATCTACTTGAGTTTTATGTGAAAACGGAAGATCAGCACGGTTCTGATTTTATTTTCCTCGGGAACCAAAAATGTATTGAACTGTACATGCGCAACCTATTCCAAGCCGCGAAGTCGTGGAAGTCTATCCCTTGCCCACTCAGCACATCCCTACGTAATCAGAAAGTTGGGCTATGACCCAGGGCATTAGCCTGTCGCGCTCTCCGCAGATCTGCCCTTTCACTTTACTTCAACTCTAGAAGCACCATTCTCCTTAGAGCCAAGCACCCCACCCTTCAGACGCCACACTTTTAGAACATGAGCAGTCAACCCACAAGTCCCTTAAAAGGAGGGTAAGAACCTTGGTTTATTGAAGAGACTGGAGGAATCAGGAGGGGGAACATAAAAGGAAAAACAAGCAATTTTGGAAAAACAAGTAAACTGAGGAGAAGGGAACGCAACCACGAAGAAAGGGAGTGCTGAAGTTAGGGGAGCAGGTCGTGGAGGGATAAAATGAGAAATGAAAGGGGGAAGTAAGGAGGAAAGGGGAAAATAGGAAATAAGGAAGAAAAACGAGACAAGAACGGGGCAAGAAGGAAAAGTGGGAGAGCAGAAATCGGTTAGGAAACTATAAACGAGCAAATAGAGTAAACGACGGCGAAAAAGCGCGGCGTTTCTGGAAGGTGAGTGGGGTGGGGGTGGGGGGATCGAGAAGAAACTTAAGGGGCGTGGGAAGGCAGCCGGGGAACTGGCATTCCCGGAAGCCAGGATCTCTTCTGTAGGGGCTCAGAAAACATGTGGGAGGGAAGTACAGAAGACCAGAGCCGCGAGCCGAAAGAGACCCAAACCCAGCAGAGTGTGAGCGTGCCCCTGTGAGTTTTGTTTAAGACGTTTCTTGGGTACTTTGGACGTGCCCTTTCAGACGCGAGGAACTAGCTAACGCTCCTTTGCGCCCCCGCCGCCCCCACCCGAACTGCCTAGCGGAGGGAGCTGGTTGAAGACGCTGAGGAGGCGCACCGTGTCTCCTGCAGGGGGACCCATTCGCGGTGGGACAGGCGCGACCGGCCCGTTCACACAGCTCGATCTCAGGGTGGCGTGGCGGTCCCAAGTGGTTGGGTGTCGATTCCTGGCCGAGGATGCACCTCGACTAGAGAGGGGAGAGAGCTGGAGCTTAAGGCGCGGGGCGCTGGGAGGCAGTTCCCCCCGACCTCTCCCCGCTCCCAACGAACCCCGGAGTCCCGACAGAAACGTCAGGGGTGCGAGCGCGATCGGTGACCACGCGGGTGCGCGGGCGGGGTGGGGCCCGGGTAGGGGCGTGGGACGGAGCCCGCGAGCGGGCCAGTGGCCGCAGGGGACGCGTCGGGCGCCGGGCGTTGAACGCCGGCCCCTCTGGGGTCATTTACATGCTGTCACAGCCCTGGGCTGACTCCGGGGCGTGCTGCTCGCTCGCTCGCTCGCTCGCTCTCGGCTCCTGCCAGCGCTCCGCCGGCACGGCCCCGGGGAGCGCGAGAGCGGGAGAGCCGGCGAGCCGGGGAGGGAGTGAAGGAGGGAGGGAGAGGGCGCGCCCCGGCTCTCCCTCTGCCCAGTCGCCCGCCCTTCCTGCCGCCACAGGTCCGCCCGGAGCCCCGCTCCCACTTGGGAAACTTGGGAGCGCGTGGGGCACCTCGTGGTGGGGGTTGGGGGCGGCCTCGGCTTCTAGAGGAGGGGGAGGAGGGGTGGAGGAGGAGGAAGTGCGCCCGAAGGATCTGCTCAGAGCTGTTTGTCCAGCTGTTTCTATTCGCACCCCGAGCAGCGAGCTGTGGGCAGCGGAGCCAGAAGTGGGCTGTTGAGACGAGGGTGACTAGCGTTGGGGCGCTCATTTCCAACTCTTCTCCCCCTTCGCAGCGAGTCGACTTCAGACACCCTGGAGTCCCCTCAGGCTAGCCCGGCGGGCGCGCACCTGCCCGCCGACCCCGACCTCTCTGGCCAGGCGGCCCTTGAGCCCGAGCCTGAGAAGATGGCCCAGCCGAAGAAGAGCGACTGCCGCTCACCTGTCGGCCTCGACTGCTGTAACTGCTGTCTCGACCTGGCCCACCGCAGCGGCCTCCAGCAGGACAGCAGCGGGAACAACAACAACCCTGGCAGCCCCACCGTGAGCAACTTTCGGCAGCTGCAGGAGAAGCTGATCTTTGAGAATCTCAATACCGACAAGCTCAACAGCATAATGCGGCAGGATTCGCTGGAGCCAGTGCTGCGAGACCCCTGCTACCTGATCAACGAGGGCATCTGCAACCGCAACATCGACCAGACTATGCTCTCCATTCTGCTCTTCTTCCACAGGTGGGTGGCCGGCCGGGCTGCTCGCTCAAGGGGGAATATGCAGACTGGCTGGCGCGGGCGGCCTCTCGGCTTCTACTGGATCCCCCACCGTTACACAAAGTGGGAGAGCACGGAAAAGTCACTTAAGGCCCTGGAGAGGTTGACTGTGTATGTGTGGGGTGGGGGGAGGATGGTGATGATCTGGCAATGCAGAGCCCTGTTTTTACAGGGGCGGGGGACTGCAGAGGCTTTCCAAAGGGAGATGTTAGAAAGTGTACAGCCCTAACTGGCTTGGGACAGGGTAGCTCACAGCATCCCTTTCTCAAATGTGCACGTTTTCACACTTATTGTGGAGATGCGATTCTGCCTTGCGATGCTCTTGGGACCTGAGTTCCCTCTTCTCCAAAGCCCAGCCTCGAATATCCGAACCCAGGTGGAAACTGCAAGGACTTTTAAATTACTGAATGGCCCTGACTTAGAGTGAACAACAACAAAACGCTGTTGCTGTTCCTTGGCTGGCTGCTACTATGGGGTAGGGTGGGGAGAAAGAAAACTTAGAAATCTATGAGGATTTCCAAAGACCCTGTGTTTATGGGACTTGTGACTTTTTTCATAGATTACAGTCCTCTTTATTTAGAATGAGAGTTTAAAAAGCCGCCCCTGGGGGCAGGCCCGGGGAGAATACAGAGAGTAAGGCATTTGCCATATACATGCCCAACCCGGGTTTGGTTCTAGCACCCTGTCCGGTACCTCAAGAACTGACAGGAGTGATCCCTGAGCATAGAGCCAGGAATAAGCCCTGAGCACAGCCGGGTGTGACCTCAAAACCAAAATAAATAAAAACACCTTACTATAGACTCCTTAAAAAGTAAAAGCTGCCCCAGAGACCGTCCTAGGGTAGGGTGGAGAATGAATCCATGTCACCTCAAGGGCTGCTGAGTGCAGGTCAGACTTTCTGGAAAGCCCACAGGAGAGAGAGGAAAGGAATAAGGAGTAAAGAAATACAATAGGGAGATGCAAATTGACTACTGGCGTCCAGGCCTCCATACCCTCTGGTAAGGGTCTGTCTTTGGGAGAGTGGGGTAGGGAGAGGTATCAACTGAGGTAATTTAGTGCCAGCGGTCAAATGTACGGGAAACATCATGTATTTGCTGCTCTTAGGACCATCGTGTGTGTGTGTGTGTGTGTGTGTGTGTGTGTGTGTGTGTGTGTGAGATTTGATTCTTTCTCAACAATGAAGGTTATGTAAGAGAAGGAGAATTCTGCTCTGGGAGGCTGGTGTTATAGTTCAGGTTGTGTCTCTGCCTTACCACGGTGTAAGCTTGAGCGTATTGCTCACTTGTCTCTAAGTTTTCTTTTGAGTTCTGAGATTGCAGATCTCCTGAGCAGATGGTGTGCTCAGACAAAGCACTGAAAAGATTCCGAGCACTCATAGACTAGCGGAAAAATTGGGTGGCACAAATAGAAACGTTTAGAAGCCATCGAGAGGGACTGGAGCCATAGTGCAAAGGGTAGGGTGTTTGTCTTGTTTGAGACAGATCCAGGTTCCCTAGGTTCCATCTCAACACCCTGTATGGCCCCCTGAAGGGGGCCAGGAGTGATCTCTGAGCACAGAAGCAGGAATAAGCCCTGAGGACTACTAGGTGTGTCCTCCTCCCCTCCAAAAAAAAATCCAACTGAAAAAAGCTATCAAGGAGAGCGGGAGCACTACCCTCACACTCAGAAAACCAGGTTTGCTCCCTCTTTCCCCAGGGCAACATTTCCTCCCTCATCCAGGCACATATCTCTTCCCATAGCTTCAGCCCCATGAGTTCCTGGAGAGGGGATTGGCCAAGCTGTCGATTCCTTTAGCATGATTGTAACAAGTTATATGTCTCAGGCTTTTCCAAGTTGTCAAAACCCTTTCCCATCTATGATTTCACTTGATGAAGCAAATGACCTCATTGTCTCAAATTGGCGGTATCCTGAGCAGGTTTTCAGGGAATCTTCATTTCGGGTGTAAGATCACTTGCAAGTGTGTTTGACTCCAGCCCCTAGTAGCTGGAAACCATGCCAAGTTAAAGCCCTAAGGATCCTGCTGGATTGCTTAGACAATGGCATTGGAGGGAGTGGTACTAGACACCTGGGAGAAAACCTCTCTCTAAATGATTTTGATGAATTGCAAGAGTGGGTTGAGGTTCCTAGATTCAAGACCTAGGATGGTGGGCCCTGGGAAACTGAAAACATGAAGATGAAAGTATTCCCGTGTGCTGCACTCCGCATACTGGCTGAGGCTTCCTGGCTGGGTTGCCTGAATAAAGACCACCTCTGGCAGGTTCTCTGTTGACACCTGTCTCTGGGTGCTTGGTTGTTGGCAAGGCCTGGAAACGGCTGTTGTGGGTGATGGTGATGTTGGGAGGACACGTGTCCTGGGGCATTGGTGCCAGGAGATTGGTGAATGTGTGGGAAGGTATGCTTTGCATCCCCAAATGCTGAGCAACAAGTCCCCAGAATTCTGCTAGGCTAGGGAGTGATAGGATGCTGTGGCTCTTAAAGTTGTAGCAGGATCCAACATTCAGCTTCTGCACTTTCCCTTGGCTACTGGGACTTCAGAGATTTGAGATTCTGAATTTAGTTTAGATTTTCCACAGAATGAAAAGCTCATTAGCATGAAGGAGACTGTTTTTACTAGTTGCAGGGCTTCTCCGAAGTGAAAATTTTCCTTCTTTAATGTATTTTAGCTGCTGCTGCTCCTTCTGAATGTGTGCGAGTGTGTGTGTCTGTGTGTGTGTGTGCGCGTGCACGCATACATTTTTCTGGAAATAAATCCAAGTCTCATGTATTCAAGGCTTTGCCACCAAGTCACATTCCAGGCCGTATTTATTTTTTAATTTCTTAAAATTTGGGGCTAGGGAATGTGGCTCAGGGGTTGAGCACTTGCCTTGCTTGCATGTGTGAAGTCCTGGGTTGGATGCCTGACTCTACCAAATTTTGTTTTCAAGATCTTACTCTTCCCAAGAGGAATAGACGCACAATGATCTCTCTTAGTGTGGGACATGAAAAAAACAGAATAGACCAATAATGATGCCCCAAAGCAAAAGAAACTGAGAACTTGTCTTTTTTATCAGACCACGGCTGGACTCTGTATTCAGGAATCATTCGTGGCAGTGCTCAGGGGACCAGATAGGATTTTGGGGATTAAACCTGGTTAGGCAGTGTGCAAAGCAATTACCCTACTGCCTGTACTATCTCTCCAGCCCTGAGAACTTGTCTTTAGTAGGAAGCTTACCACTGGGTTGGGGAGCGTGGAAGAGGGACCCTGTGACAAAGGTGTAGAGTAATAGACACAGGGGTAGAGGTTGTGGTGCTGGAATAGTTCATGTATGAAATCCTACAACTGTTTGTAAAACACAGTGCCCCCCCCAAAATTTCCTTCCCTCTTCTGTTATGGTGATGACAAGGGTCACAAGTTTGGTTTTAGTACTGGCATTAACTGTGCTGTCGTGCCCCAGCACACTTAATTATAGTGCTTGCAAACTTAGTTGAGATGTGTGCACAAGCCTGGTTGTGGTGTGCCCTGTGATTGCATACTTCGTTTTGGTGCTGGAGATCCCAAGCAGTAGGTTCCACCTAATGGGCTTCCTGATGGGACTTGGTGTTTTTTTTTTAAGTGTAGGAGTACTGCTATTTATTCAGCCATTGATTAGGCTGATTGAATTGGGCATGAACTCCACTGGGACTTGGTGTTTTGCGGCAGTGCTGGGGATCCAACTTGGGGCTTCATGCTTGCAAGGCATTCTATCACTAAGCTCTCCCAGGCACCAAAAATATTTTATTTTTGACTTGATGTGTGATCTGTGCTCTTAGCTTCGTATCTCAGCCACCATTTTCACTCCTTGTTCTGTTTCATGATTTAGGATTTCGAAGTCCTGCCTAGGGATGTTTTCTCTTAAATTTGTCTGCCTGGAAGACTACTTCTGGAGAGTCCCCTTGCCCTTCCGTCTGTAACTTTTCTGCCATTTGTCCCCCTGTCTATGTGTCTATGGGCGCCTATATTCTTTGGTGGGGTACATTCTTGATTTCTATCTGCTTTGTCTGCTTTGACCTGTTCCAGCCTCCCAGCTTTGCTCTTGGTTTCCTTGAAACAAGAGTGTAAGAAATTTGAGCGTAGGGGTGTGTTTTATACAACTGTTTGGTTTTCCTTTGGCTTGTAGTTAACATGGAAAGTATTTTCAGAGGTAAAGGGATTTGAAAAATTGTTTAAAACCTGACTGGTGAGAGAGGACAGTAGGTAGAGTGCTTACCTTGTATGAGACTGATCCAGATTTAATCCCAGATACCCCACAGGGTTCCTTGAGTATACCAGGAATGATCCCTGAGCATAGAGCAAGGAGTAAGCCTTAAGCACCTCTGGGTTTAGTCCCCAAACCAAAAAAAAGTTTAAAATCAATAACGATGGGCTGGAGAGAGTATGTGGATAGTAGATACTTGCTCTTTGCATAGCTAGCCCCAGTTCAATTGTTAGGAACTATGTGTGGTCCACCTCCAAGCATTTCCAGGAGTGATGCATGAGCACAGAGCCAGGAGAAAGCCCAGAACAGAGCAGGATGTGGCCTCCTCCCACCAAAATAGTAAAATTCACAATTAAACTGACAACTCTTTGTTGATGTGGTTCTGTGTAGAGATTTTACAATTTTTTAGCTATGGGAAATTACCTATTGAGGTTTAATTGTGATTTTATTTTGTTTTAACCATGTGCAATAGCGCCAGTAATCTAATAAACATTAGATGGGTATATGTATTTGCATATCAGTTGTAAAGAACCATAGTTTATTGATATTTAAATGATACTTCCAGTAGTTTGGAGCTTCAACTATGAGTGACAATACGATATGTGTTGGGGGGGCCACAATCAGTGTTCAGGGCTTACTTACTCTTCACTCTGTGTTCAGAGATCACTTCTGGCAAACTTGGAATACCATATGGGATGCTGGGGATCAAACCTGGGTCGGCTGCATGCAAGTAAAGCGCCCTGCTGTACT